TAGTAGGTGGCGGCCTCATCGCTCTCGAACTTCTTGTTGTTGTAGGGGATACGAGGCACACCCAATATCCCCCTTACATTGATCACATCGCACACTAATATTTTTACTATTTCGGACACCAGATTTGTCTGTTTCGTATATGTATAATTGTTCAATATTAAAACCACAATAGAATGCTCTAAGTACTTTCGTATATTAATACATCTTCAGAAGGAATGGTTCGCTCTGAAGATGTATTAATATAAGAAAGTACTAAAGGAAATTCCTGTTTCAATTCTTCCTCCGTGGTCTGACACTCTTATTATATATTGTATATACTGAATTATATATACTATGCTTATATAATATATACTGAAATATTGTTACATTTAACGTATGAAACAAAGTATATATCTGTATTTTTAATAAAATATAAAACATTAATATTTATCAACGTATCTCTGTGAATTACATAATTTATCAGTATTGTACAGCCTGTGATCTCCACCTGGCTGGCCACTGATACCTAAGTAGCTTTCATGTGTCCGGACACCGGCGATAGGATTGTATTATTTAACTTTAAAGAGAGAGATATTTCTTGAAATGTTGTCACATTAACGTCTACATCTTCCTTCCTTCTGACATATAGATTTTAAGGTTAATTAGCATATATGGAAATAAATTACACAATTTATAGGCTGGTGTGAAGGGCTTCACACTCTTAGAGCAAGCCATCAAGAAACTGTACAGTATCAAATGCATATATCTTCGCTTTCACTTCAGTTATATTTATGACAAGTATTTAAAGTGTAGCTTATATTTCTGCCTTTCTGTTGACATAGAAAACTTTCGTTTATTACATTATCTAGATAAAATTAGCATTGATCTTCAAAAGGTTGTAGTTGTAACTTCCATTATAAACAACATTATTATTGCAAACAGTAGGAGTTTCAAAGTCTCATTTGTATGGATACCTTCTCATATAGGTGTTGTCCAGCATGATGACACAAACAAGGCAGCTAAAACTGAATGTGATAAGCCTGAAGTTGAGTGGGATATGGGCATTCCAATCTCTTCTGTCAAAGCCGCAATATTTTAGGAAATTAGGGAAGACAGAAGAGCAGTCACTGACACACAAAAGCCAGAAAGCAAGAGTATAAAGAGCTATGACATGTTTATGTGCCTCTGTAACCTTTTCCACTACCGCCCACAAGATGATATATGGGGTGCATAATTAATGAACTAAACTAAGTAAACATGTTTAGAATCGAGAATTATATGAACGGACAGCATAAAACTTCCACTAGTGTCACAATGACAGTGTGACATTGTAATTGCCAGAATTAGGCTAGGATATCGATATGTATCGCAGGTGGCTGCAGGTAATGAATAGCCCCCAATGGTGAATATTCCAATTGTAAACTATGTGAACAAGAGCTGGGACATACTCACCAACACTATATCTGTGATTGCCCTGTTATAAGTGACTTCAGACCAAATGGTATAAGGTACTTTGAACTCTGTAATTACTTCATACACTTAGGAATATTGGAAGATATTCTTATGCTGTACCCGGATTTTGCTAACGGAGGCTAATAGATCAGCCTTATATTTTATGTTCTCACCTGATTGTTACCTTGAGGTAGGCCCGTAAGTGGTAGTCCTCTTGAACCATTAACAGTATCAATAGATGATACTGGAGATCTGTGGAGGTGCGACTGGACCCTGCGTGACGGGAGATGTATCCCTTGTTTCTTGTGATTGATTGATGAGGATTAAGCCACCCAAAAGGTAGCACGGGCATGAATAGCCCGTAAGTGGTGTTCTTGTTAGTCACAGTTGATTTTTTTTTTATTGAGGCTGGTATTTTATCCCCTGATTCCATGTATAACTAACCATCCTGTGAGATGGGAATATTTAATGAACTTATAGCTAGTTTTTGATATACACTGTGTAATCTTTCATATAGAATAGGGTAGCAGCACATTACTGTGTATACCTAAGCTTGTTAATAATAACAAAAAAAAAAGTTAGTTTCTATCGATAGGGAGAGCGATGGTTCAAAAATCCTTCTTTAAAATATGAATATCTTTCCTATCTCACTAAGATCTAATCTCTGTGATTAAAATGCAAAATTGACTTTGTCACTGCCTTTTTGATAACGTATACAATCATAAGCTTATTTGTGAATCTCTATTAAACAGTAAATCAGAGAGCGTGTAAGGTTCCGTGTTCCATGTCCGAAGAAACAGGGAGATTTTACATAAATACAGTACATGATAGTTTAAGTAGCGAACGCATACCAACAAATAACGATTAGTATCTATAACAAAAATATTGTTCTATGGAGTTGATTTAACTTCCAACCATGTATTTTTAAATAATCTTTAACGTTTTCTGGCTAGTTATGTTAGATTTGATTAAAAATACGCATTCTACTTGTTAATATCGTTAGATTTGATTAAAAATACGCATTCTACTTGTTAACATCATAAATTAAATTTGCGATAATTTGAGCAGAGAAGTTCGACGACTGGATCACTGTGTACAGAAGGTTGATATGCCAGCAAACACTTTCCAGAGAGCAATATATCTTGGATAAGTCGCTCCACGATATTGTTGCTTGGACCATCGACTTCCTTTGATATTTTTTTTTTTTTTTTTTTTGTGATATATACAAGAGTTGTTACATTCTTGTACAGCCACTAGTACGCGTAGCGTTTCGGGCAAGTCCTTAATCCTACGGTCCCTGGAATACGATCCCCTGCCGCGAAGAATCGTTTTTTCATCCAAGTACACATTTTACTGTTGCGTTAAACAGAGGCTACAGTTAAGGAATTGCGCCCAGTAAATCCTCCCCGGCCAGGATATTACATATTTACATCTTATTTTGTTATGAAATGATATTTTTTCAGAGTAAAATTATGTTTTCTCATTTTCTGCATCCAGCATCCACATTATAGTGAGTAAATATACCATATTACTTCATTGCTGACGCATATGCTAGGAAGGTTTGAGTAGCTTTGGGTCTTTAGTGGACAGAATCTCCAATAGATGGGGCGAGAGTCGCCCCATCTCTCTCGACCGGGCGGGACTCGAAACTTAAATTAAAATTGCTATATCATTGGTCTCCAACATGATATATTTCCTTTGATGCACTCACAATAACGATTATAGCTCTGTCTTTCTGGAGGCATGTAATATTTTAGGCTTTATTAGCGTATCTTTGTTAATTATACAACATATTGGCAAGTGCGTAGGCGTCTGCACTCCATGACCGAAAAGCTACTGAACGCCACTATAAAAACATATATATCTTCACTTGAGCTTTAAATATGTCTAATGTAATGTATTTAAAATAAAGCTTATATTTCTATCTTTCTTAAGACGTGTAAAACATTTGTGTTTATTAACGAATTTACGTAAAATAACATTCTTCTGAGAGAGTTGCTCTGTCGCTCAGTCTATGCGGGGGTCGGAGCTCGGCGATTATTAAAATACATGAATCTTCATTAGAACTTTAATTATGTCTATGATAAAGTATTTAAAATGAGCTTTATATTCATATCTTTCTTGAGGCATATAAAAAATTTACGATTATTTACAAATTTACGTGAAATAAGCATTATTCTGAGAGAGTTGCTCCGTCGATCGATCTGTCCGGAGTCGGAGCTCGGCTATTATAAAAGTACACGTATCTTCGCTTTAAATTTAAATATGCCCATGGTAAGGTATTTAGAACGAAGCTTATATATCTGTCTTTCTTGTGACATATAAAACTCTTACGTTTATTAAGGAATCTGCGTGAAATAGGCATGGTTCTGAGATGAATGCTGCGGTTTTCGAGTTTGACGAGCGATGAAAACTGCCACTTTTATACAACTACAAATATCTTCGGTTTTACTTAAAATATTTGTCTGGTAGAGGTTTTACATATAGATCGCGTTTCTGTCTTTCTTCTGACTAATAAATAATTTTGGTTTAATCAGTTATCAAGATGTTTTCAACAATATTCTTTCAGCGTTCGTCTTTTCCAACTTGGGCGACCCTTTTGGAAGCGCGATACTTGGGTTAACCCATCCTATAGTTGGGTCTGTTTCCAACTGGGGTTCGAATAAGGCCACTCCAGACCGACAACCAGAGCGCAACTCTATAGTCTCCTGAGACTGATGGATGCCTACTAGGGTGTACGAATTATTTTGCTGGCAGAGAGCTAGTTTTTTATCTATACTGTGTAATATCTCATATAGAATAGGGTAGCAGCACATTGCTGTGTATACCTAAGCTTGTTAGAAAAAATATTTTAGTCGACATTTGTCCAAAATTTAATACAATTTTGTAAATATTTATATATAATAATTAAAGTAACTATAATGTTACGTGTATTATTATTTACAGTATAAATGATTAATGTATATGAAATTCTGTAAAAAGTTAATTATAAACATTTATGAAATCACATGAATCTCAACCCCCGCAAGCACAACTAGGTGAGAGCTTCATTTCATTCACGGGAGACATCTCCCGTCACGCAGGGTGCAGTCGCACCTCCGCAGATCTCCAATATCAGCTCTTGATACTGGTAATGGCTCAAAAGGGCCACCACTTACGGGCTATTCATGCCCGTGCCACCTTTTGGGTGGCTTAATCTTCATCAATCAATCTTCATTTCATTCTAATAATTCTTTCTGCCCGAAACGCTTTGCATAATAGTGGCTTTAGGCATTGTATGTACTAGCTCTACCTATAAATCTATCAATTTTTGTAAAACCTCTTGTATGTATGTACTTTACCTGAATAAACATTTATTTATTTATTTATTTATTTATTTCATCAGTGTTGGAAACGCTAGTATACGAACTGACGGTTACTCCCACGTGTGCTCGCAATTGCTTATAGTCAATATTGGCTTATTTAATAAGTGCATATGTGACATACTAATTGATTGTAAATATTTTAGTTAACTTGAAAAGCTTCATAGAAAACACCGACCTCACCTAACCTTCTTAGTATGTTAAGATAAGCATCTTATTGCTTCTTAATTACAATTATTACTTTACAATTATAATATTACAATTATATCAACGTTGGTCGGTTAGTGTGTGAGGCTGGAGGCGGTGTTGTTGTTGTTGTGGTCTGAGAGGAAGAGATCACCGCTGGCTGCACACGCCGCGGCAGGCGAACATCTTCACGCTAACTTAACGTACTATAAAGAAGAAGACGCTGCTGGTTAGAACGGCGGGTATATTGCTCTTGTAATAAGGACGCGACAGCGGTCGGTAGAGGTTCGTGCTAACGTGCCCGTTACGTAGTGGTAAGACACTCGCTCAGCGTTTTGGCCTGGGTTCGTATCCCGGTTCATCTAATTACCCAAAGCTACACAAATTTACTCAAAAGATATCCAAAGCTTCCTAGCATTACGCATGTAATGAAAAAATATGATATATTTACTCACTATAATGTTGGTGTTGAATGTAAAACAAGAAAAAACATATTTTTACTCTGAAATAATATAAATTTATGACAAAATTAGGCGAGACTAAGTGGCATGAGAGGCCATAGGAAGCCGACGATCCAGGCGACAATGTTTTGGAGCGACTTATCCAAGATGACCAAATTATTCAAGATATATTGTTGCCTAGAGGTTATATTAAGTTAGGTTTGGATAGGTTAGATTTATTTAGGTTAGGTTATGTTCTGGTAGGTTGGTTAGGTTAGGTAGGTACAGGAAGCTCATATGCCAGCAAACATTGTCGCTTGGACCGTTGCGAGGGCAGCGGCGAGGGCGGGCGGAGTGAGGCAGAGCCCCATTGTGCGCCCGTATTTATACGGCCCCAAACTGCCCGCGCAACGCAATTGTTTCTTTCTCCCCCGCCAGAAAAATCCCCGCTTGTGAAGCAGTGACCATTTTCTGACCAGGGGGAGAAAGATACTGGCAGTATGGGGCGTTAAAGTTTATTGAGGATTAAATTCTGCAGAACATGTAAATATATAAAGTTCAAATATAAAGTAAGTAATTATATAAAGTCTATATTAAACACGGTTTATATTATAGACTTATAACAAAGTTGATATTATATTAAACTTAATATTGAACATGTAAATATATAAAGTAAATATATAACGTTTATATCAAAATATATAAAGTAAATATATAAAGTAAGAATTAACAGTAACAATTCCAAGTCCGAGGACTAGACTTAATATAGACTTTATATAATTACTTACTTTATATTTGAACTTTATATATTTACATGTTCTGCAGAATTTAATCCTCAATAAACTTTAACGCCCCATACTGCCAGTATCTTTCTCCCCCTGGTCAGAAAATAAATTTATGACAAAATTAGGCGAGACTAAGTGGCATGAGAGGGCATAGGAAGCCGACGATCCAGGCGACAATGTTTTGGAGCGACTTATCCAAGATGACCAAATTATTCAAGATATATTGTTGCCTAGAGGTTATATTAAGTTAGGTTTGGATAGGTTAGATTTATTTAGGTTAGGTTATGTTCTGGTAGGTTGGTTAGGTTAGGTAGGTACAGGAAGCTCATATGCCAGCAAACATTGTCGCTTGGACCGTCGACTTGCTTTGACGTGTCCAGCTTCTTATTTTCATCTAATTCTGTTATAAAATGATACTTTTTCAGAGTAAAATATGTTTTTCATATTCTACATTCAGCACCAACATTATAATGAATAAATATATCATAATTTATTCATTACTAACGTAATGCTAGGAAGCTTCGTGTAGCTTTGAGTAAGTTTGGGTAGCTTTGGGTAATTAGACGGCCCCTCGTATCCTGGCCGGGGAGGATTGACTGGGCGCCAATCCTTAACTGTAGCCTGTGTTTATCCAGCAGTGAATGGGTACCTGGTTGTTAAACAATTTGGTGGGTCATTTTCCAGGAAAAAATTAGGATTAAGCATCTGCTTGAAACCCTTTGTGTGTGTAATGTGGATGAGGATATAGCATTTAATGATTCATTTTGTCTTAGGGGGGGGGGGCCAGGAAGCCTGTGGATTCCAAATTCATCCCTGATGATGAGCAGATGACTAGAAGACATTAAACATGATTTTTACCACATTTCCACTAAACAACCACATACTAGTACAGGTAATTGTTTAACATCTGGCAACTGTATGGCCAAATTCCCATCTTGGCTGCCCTATGTCTATATACTGTAATTACCACAAGACAGTCTACAAGTAACACAAAGCAAAGCATATGTTAAAGCTTCCTTAGTAGCTTCTGACAAACCTCAAAGTCTCAAACTTCTTTCATCATTCCTCTTTTATTCTCTTGAACACTAAATAAAACCTGGTAAGGCACAATAGGAGTAATAAACAAAATAATATCTTTCTCTAGATTTTATAAAAAAGTAAATTTGTATTCAAATAAAACATTATTACACACCCGCCCAAACACATATTGAGCTTTGTGGCTTTATAGATGTACAGTAACTGGTAGCAAGTCTTTCAGGCGATGGGCTGGTAGCAAGAATGTGTCATGCTCCAGTTTCCCATTCAATAAAAACATGGTGTGTTGTGTGAATTTAGGTAAATATATATATATACTGCATATAAAGAATAGGAACATGCCAAAAATGTTTTTAATATAAATGCACAACTTGTGTCAAACTCATTAGTATCAGCATGGTGGTGGCAGATATAGAAACAAGCGAAAATATCTTATTTTGCAGTTCATCGAGTGTGTGCTGCTTTGTTGGATTATGCAGTACAGTAAATACATGAACTTGACTAATGCTGGAAGTGTAAAGTAAATAAAGTGTATTGCATAGGCAAAACAGTAACTTAACATTCATTAAGGATCTTTACATCATGCTGCTATGCGAGCACTTACTGTATTCTTGTTTGTATTTTCTTTATAATTTACTCAATCTCTTTCTCATCCAAGCAGGTGGTCCATAATGAGTAAGAAGTGTCGGCAGTGTGGTTCAACTTCATTTAGTATAGAAGCTGGTCTGAAAATATGTGACCAGTGTGGAGTAGAGCAAAAGGGCTATATTGAGCTTGAGAGCCAAGAACTCATCTCTGAAGTTGATCGGTCACGCTTTGCCTCCAAGCGGTTTGATGAGGATGACGAGGCAGAAGTTGCTATACAAGAAGGTAATCTACTCTGCTGTATATTAACTGGACCATCAACTAATTCTTCTTCAAAGAAAAATAAATACAAATCAGTTTTTTTTTCTTAAAGTTTAGGATATTGTAGGTATTCTATTATTTGTGGATCTGTTGCATGTAGTTTTCGTGTTTTGGGCTCATGGTTAAAATCTCTAGTGGTGTGCTTGCAGTAGTTAGTCACTTAAGCCTTGCAGTTTTATTTAGCATTCAATTAGTTGTTTTCTGAACGTTTGGCATATTTTAGTATGTCTGTGCACATAACTGTAGTCTCTTACGTCTTGTGTGACATGTTAAATTTCTCTCTTTTTCAGACAAAGAGTTAAATAACTGGACAACATATGAAGCATATAATGTTGTTCTGTATGAATGGACTCAAGCATTATGTGGTCTTGGAGCTTCACAACACTTCAAACAGGTTATATATAAGCTTTGGGTGATGTACCTTCATAATCTTGAAATTGCCTTCTTGAAGCCAGCATCTTCTAATAAGAGACGAAGTAGTGGAAGTAATAAAGATGCTCAGCCAAAAGTTTCCCTGATCCAAAGCCCAAGGTATGAATGTTACAAAATTTAATTTACCAAATTGACATTTTCTGCCACTAGTATACTGGTATTTAACTAACCTATAGCCTTAGTTTTGTCTGATTTTCATGTGCAATATTGGCCTATGCTGTTTATTACAAATTATCAGGCATACCTATAGTATCAAGTGCTGATAGCATGCTCAGCTGTTCATGGGACATAGGTATTAACTTTGCCTGGATAGTAATTGGGAAAATACTTTGACAGGATTAGGTTGCATATAACTCAAGTTTCCTACAGGTAACCCTCTTTAGGGGTCCTGGACCCCATTCAATAACCATGAGCCTTCCTGGAGGCACTGCTGCAGCTGCCTCGTGTCTGTTTCAGTGTTGGCTAATACAGGTACTCCCTGCACACACAGACTAATTACTAATTACTGTCTTGAATTCTAGAGATGTCCAGCTGATCAATTTTGGGAAAGAGAGTGTATGTTCTTCCTCAATGTCAGTCTTCAGTGACAGAAGGAAAAAGAAGAAGAAGAAGAAAGAAGTATCAGAATTAGACAATTTAAAGAAAAAGGTAAGTAGCACCTACCACGCTTTCTCTCAATGAACCATTGCGAGCACTCGCTGAAATGCTACTGTGGCCATCCCACAAATAAAACATTGAATCTAATGAAATACTCATTTCTAGTCAGCTCTGAACAGCTGCTGATTCTTTCTGTCCCATGGGGTTAGTGGACAATTTGATTAGCTGTCATGTGGTGACAGCTAGGCGGGTGAGAGTGAGAGGTTCTTAGCACACTGCCAACTACTGTTATCCTTGTTTCTAACTTTCGTTTCTTGTTAAAAGCCACTATTTGTTTTCTTTGCCTGGGATTTTCTGGGCAGTTTTCTCAATCTTTAGTCATATTCCTTTCTTCCTCTGATAACCCTGTTCCTCTAGCCTCAATGACTAAACCACATTATCTGCAAGGTAGTTAACAAATGGAATGCATTAGGGCATGATGTGGTGGAGGCAGATGCCTTATACAGTTTCAAGTGTAGATATGATTGAGCCCAATAGGCTCAGGAACCTGTACACCAGTTGAGTGAGAAGCAGGACCAATGAGCCAAAGCTCAACCCCCACAAGCACAACTAGGCAAGTACATTCTGATCTGGTTTTTCGTAAAGTTTGAAGTGTTGGTGGCACCAGAGCCTTAAGTGCGATGGAGCTATCAAGTACAGAGAGCTCCCTTGTAACGCGCCTTTAATTTCATTCACCACTTTATTTTTAGCATATATTGAGAGATCATATAATTTTTGGTGGTTTTATTCAATAAAGGCTTTAGTTTTTTTTGCTGATGTTCAGTAACTGGTTCAAAGATGAGCTACTTTACCCTGTGAGATTGGGATACCATCTCATTTTGAACCACATCTTGTTTATCTTCTCTTCAAATTGCGATGCAGTTGTGGCATTCCATCTATATTAATTCTGCTACTTGCCATGCTCTTCTTCAGTGCATAGGAAACAGTAAGTTGTCAGCACTTTGTACTTATTTTTTTATTTTTCAACCTCCTCAACATCCTCAGGATCTTGAGTTTACCTTATAATACTAGTACAGTGTAATGAACTGATTAAATCCTATTTGAACAAGTTACAATTGGCTGGCAAATGATAAGGACTACAACAATGCAAAGTCTAATAAAAATACCATTTAGTTTACATGAAATTATCATTTATCAGGAGTATGATGATTTTTTCAGGAAATGCATCTGCAATTACATAGCAAGTATAGAGGAAAATTTTATTGGATATACAGTAGAGTATGTAATTTTCACTTAATGGCAAATTTTCTAGGTACACACACCTGTCATTAATTAGGGAAAGGCTGTACTTAATATCACATATGACTACAAATAAGTTTTAACTATGTTGTGATAATATATACAATAATTTTATTTTTACTTCTACGATTACCAGACAGAACGTCAAAAATATCTTAAGGAATTTAAGTCCAGTAAAAATTCTTCAATGATGAGTTGCTCATTATCCCAAGAGCTAAGTAAATCACTGTCGGAGTGGGAGTCAACCTCGTTTATCTCGAACTCTGCCGCTCCATCCTTTAACGATGAGGAATCTGTATATTCTGGAAACATGGATCATCCGTCTGACGTGTCCAATGTAAGTACTGTATCAAAATTGGCACACACTTTCTTCTTCTTAATTCCTAGTAGTAATCTCTGTTTAAATAATACAGTAGTTACTTTTTCCTTTGTTTGCAACAAAAACATCATACATTTGTTTTTAGGATGGAAATTTGAGTTTACTGATCATTCAATTGTGAATGAGAAACTTAGTTGTAATAAAAGTTTTAAATACTGGAAATGTGCTGTAGGTTTTGTTAGTCAATGACCTCATTGCAGGCAATGTCAGAGGACTGGCAGTCATTCATTACTGGCGGCGGTGATACATACAACCGACATGATTTTGATTATTCACAAACAGACGAAGATGAGCCTCAAGAATCTAGGTCAGTTTGTATCAAATTATTTATTCTTGTCATTATGTTTCTGAATGTCGTTACATGATACTGTAATATACAGTATAGTTATACTGTATATTAACTGGAAGTTCTGGTGGCATGCTTAGTCCAATATGTTTTTGTTTCACTCTTTTTAATCATTTAAAAAATATTCAAACTTTTAATCATTTGGAACTTTAAAATAAAAGATTGCTTTTGAAAGAGCTACTTCAGCTTGTCGCTAAACAGTTATTAGCAATAACACACTAGTATATTCATTACTGTTTGATATTTTGGCATTAACTTTCAGTGGTCACAAAGACTACATTTCATGGAAGTATAATGTAAATAGCATATTAGCTCACAAAATGGGGTATCATTGCTGTAACAATCAAGAGGTGTTTGTTATTTCTTACATTTATTTTTATTTTATTTATGTTGTTTTATTATAAAGAACTCTTTAGCTGGTAATAGTTACATATTGTGTTGCATACTTTTGGGGTATGCAGTAAATTTTGTTATTTAATTCTTATATTTTTTATCTTCCTCGCAAAGCAACATCTTCGGCATTATGATCATTGATTCATTATCCTTTCTAATGCACTCGTTTTTTATTGATACATCTTTCTGTAGTTTATACTTTTTTTTCTTATTTTCAAGCACTTCCTACTGATCCTGCTGCAACATAAACAAATCCAGTAGTTATTTCAGACATTAATAACTGACTTAATCTCCAGTACTTTATGTTGAAGTGATTTGTTGACTTGATTGAATGTCTTGTATGACAGCGCAGAAGTCTGCTAAGAGAACTGTTTCCAACTTTAATTTAATCTGAAGCAAACACTATACAGTACTTAAGTGGCTATCACAGTTATTTATTTATTTATATACAAGAAGGTACATTTGGGTTTGTAAGGATAACATAGCATGGTATTTATAATCTTGTAAAGCCACTAGTACGTGCAGCGTTTCGAGAAGGATGCAACCCCACAACAAGCTGACTAACTCTTGAGTACCTCTCACTGCTAGATGACCAGAGGCATTAGGTGAAAGAAAATTTGCCCAACTATTTCTGTCCCGCCCGGAATTCTCGATTGTGCGTCAAGAACAAACCCGACTGTACTACCGGGACCCTCTGCGAAAACATTTGTAGAGAATGAGGCTTCCATAAATACATTGTGTAATAAACCCAGCATCTTTATACTCATTATTTTGTTTCAAAATTTGGCAGACAGTTAATTTTTCATTTTTATGACTGAAAATGTTTATCCTTTGTATTTTTTAATTTTGATTTCAGAGTTGAAGTGTGTCGAAATAAGTTTGTCCGTAATTGGATACTGCAGCGAACAAGAATGTACGAGAGCGAAAATGAAGGCGAGGAAATAAATGGAAGTATATTTGAAGAAGCTAAACAGGAAGTGCCTTTTGATTGTCATAGCAAAAAGTCATCATTTAATGCAAGCTCTTCTCAGAAATCAGACCTAGATTCACAAGTGAAAAAAGCTCAAAGGATAGCACAGATGAAAAGAGCTCGAAGGAAAGCACAGAAGATAACTGCTTCTCAACAACGTTGGTTCAGAACCAAACAAGCACTTCATATATCCTTTCGGAAACTTCTTGGTTTACTGTACCTTGCAGTATTGATAGCTAAAGAAGAAATCCTTTTGCTGGACATTATTCGGTTAGTAATGGAGTTTAGTTATACCTTAATTTCAGACATGGATATTATATCAACTTATAAAACTTTTCAATAGTGTGAATTTTGAACTTTTAAATACAGTACTGTATACTCTCATTTGAAAAGAATTTTAGGGATTGCTCCTTCAATTTCATCGTAAATTCCAATACATTCATCTCCAACATAGGGTTAACAGGTTTTTACAAGCATTTGTTTGTTTTATTATTATTTTAATACTGTACAGATATAAAAAAATATGTATTGCAGCTACATAAACAAAAATAAATACAGTTCAGTATGTAGGAAAATATTTGCCCTCCATTTTCCAAAGGTGGCTTTGATTGGTGAACTAAAACCGTGTCAAACTCATAATGAATACCAACGATAGAATTTATGTAGTCTTAACTGTACCTATTGTCTTTCCTTTGACACAAACTTCTTTCTCTATTGTACCACACGTTTAAGGGGGAATACAAAAATGTATTTTTAGCATTATAGATGATATCTTCATACTGTTTCACCCACTGTGATGGATATATACTTGGAAAACCTAACTGTACAGAGTTTTCACCTTCATTTCTGGTCTTCCTCATTCCTCAGTCATTAAACCATATTTTTTAAAGGTAGCACCACGACTTTACCAAACAATATGAAAGAAAATCCCATCTAGCTTCAATATTAATCCAAGCATGTGAATATTTCTTTACACCATGTCATGTCATTAATTACCTGCATCACATTCTTTCACTCCTGCTCTTGCAATGCTCACCTTCTTCCACTCTTCTTTTTCATGTTCTTATTTTGCCTTGTATGAACTTAGGTCAACAAATATCCTTTCTCAAAAATTCCAGTATTTTTGTCCTCTATTTTATTATTATTTTTTTCCTTCGCATCCTACATTCTTTACATTTCGGGTAGACATGAACCTAAATCTAAAGCTGTACTGTATATACTTTGTGGAAGGAATTTAGGAAGAGGGTCCCACAAGCAAAATTTTCCCACACACCTTTTTCACAGGGCAGGGGGTTGCCACAACCTTGCAACATGCTGGTACACTGAGAAAATGTTAACTATTAGTACCTTTTCATAATTTAATGTTTTGTTCATTGCATCTTTAAAATATGAAGTATGTGATGGTTGTGAACTTGACAAATGATATTACCCATGCTATTTTCTGCTTGCCTGTCTGCAGGTGGTGTCGAGAGGGCCACATTCCATACATGTCGGCTCAGTACCTGTTAAAGCCAGATATGAAATTATTTTCTCGTGATTTGTTTATGCTAAGAGAGACCCAGACTCTCCCAACTGCAGAAGAGCTACAATCTATTATTGGAAATTTAGTTCTGTTTCTCAACATACAAAGTGTACCTCTACCATCTGTCAACGATGTGATAATGAGGCTAGTCAAGATTCTACGTTTACCAGGTATGAACATTTACTTTGTGTACACACATGCACACAGTGTCATGAATAAGGTTTTGAGAGAGTGGTAGATGCTGTCCCAACTTATGTTTCTAATAGAGTAAGGCCCTTGGCTACTTAAACTAACTTGTATTTCTGAGTGAAGTCACTAGTACATTTAATAATATAAAAAAACTGTAGCATGAATTGAAAGAAAATGTTCATCTGTTAGGTAACATCACAGTGAATCCCTACTTAAATATTACACCAGTCTATGTTCACAGCACCAGCCTGTGTTCATTACACCAACTGCACTCACTCCTTGTATATACAGTACGTCCTGTATGCATTATAGCACCCTCACACTTTTAGCATTGTATACCCTGTACTCCTTACACCATTCACTTCATAACTCAAGACATACAGGCCTGGGGTTTCCTGTCCTCACATGGTCAAAACTTAAATTTTTTATTTAATCTTATTCTATAAATAAATTTTCCATTAAAATAACTTGATACTGCTTTTGATAAGATATGTTACATTCTTTACAGAGTCGGTAGGACTCTTGGCACAAAAAGTTAAAGGACTGGAGAAGACTGTTTACCATAATAAACAAGGTTTTAAATTTCCGGCTATCGAGTCTCTGGCCATGGCATCCATTATTATAGTGCTTAAAGCGTGTTATGGTGTGAATGACCACACAGAAGTACAACTTTCTCGTCTGGCTGTCAAGATTAATGAGGAGATTCAGCCCCGTGCTAAAATACCACCACTCTTTTCATGGGATGAATGGGAGAGGTAATTTTTGTTTTGACATTATATTTACCTATTTATTGCTCATTTTAGTTGTGCTGGGTGAATTTAGCAACATTTGCAAGTTACTTGGTTTTGCCATCTTTACGTTTCTTTGATTAACGTTAACTAATTACTTGTTATTTTCCTATCTTTGTAAGGATGTATTTTTTTTATCTTGAATGCTTTACATTGATTTGAAATTAAAATGTCAGTTTTAGTCAAATTATAGTTATTATTGAAATTGTTCAATGGCATTTGTATTTTTTTTACATATGTTTTTTCCATGCATAATAGTGTATTAATATTTTAACATACAATACAGCTGTGTAAACAAAAAATAATTAGTCTTGTGTAAGCACACAGCCTTGTATAATAGTAGCAAATGTTACTTATGTGTTAGTCAGCTGTCAAGGGCTGCTTTCTGGGGGTGTAGGCCTGGTTGAGGACCGGGCCGTGGGGATACTAAAAAGCCCCGAAATCATCTCAAAATAACAAGGAAGAGATACATACATAATATCTTGACATTTCCTTGAATTCATGCTCGAGATATACAAAACCACGGGTGGTGATAATCACAGTCTAGGTATAATAAAAAACTGGGGTTTAAAATTCACTTTATTTACCAGGTACATGTGTAAAGTGGTGTGGTTCTGTAACCAAATAGATCCTGTGTCGGCAGAAAATTCCCAGAAGTTTGAAGAGTTGGTGACAATGGATTCCTCACAATTTGAAAGATTTTTCTGGAGTGAAGGAATTTGGAGATATCCAAAAACTTTGAGAGAAGAAAGTATGTAAACTTCATGTAATTTTGTTCTACATATTTTTCAGTATCTACAACAGATGAAAAAATAATTGAAGATACTGTAATTCACATGTACATACTGTATATACATTTTAAAACAATATTTTAAATTATAATTATTTTGTCGATTTGTAAGAGGATGTATTTTTTCCAGAAAAAATAGTTCCGTTTGTACAAAAAATTCTTGAATGGCAAGGTGACTCACTTGAGAAGAAGTTTAGTCAGCCCACCATATTCAAGCCAACACATGATCCATTTCTGAAAATCATTGAGCAGTTTCTAGCGCAGCACAGAGCTGATAAGCACAACATTCATAATATGGTTAAGGTAGGAATTTGTCTTCACCATTAAATTTGTTACGTCTTGCATGCATTACGGAGACCATTATTTAAAAATCTGTTTTATGATAAACTTTACATTTTATTCCTTTTTATGCATGTAATGAGTTACTATTTAGACAAGTGATAAACTAATATCTTATACTTGGTTCTGTGTACAGGTGGCTGAAAAACTCGTGGAAACATCCTTCTCTCACCATACTGTAGATTGGACAGGCAAATTAGGCAGTTTGCAAGAGAGTTTGAAGACTTGCAATTCAGATATTATTCTTATGTCAGAAAAAGATGCCAATCAAGCAAAAAAGAAAAAACTGGGCTCAAAACAGAGAGAAAATGGAAGGAAAACTGCACGAGGGAACACACTGGTTATTCCTGTGCCTCTAGAAAAGGTTTGGAGGATTAAAAAATTCAATAAATCCAACTGGAAGAGAATATATGATTCTTGTCCTTCCAGTTTCAAGTGGCTTGTTCACCTTGGAAGCCTGGTTTGTGAGACAACTGATAAACACATTTTCTCTGGCATTATAAAGCTTGATAGGAAAAGACCAACCAAGGGACGTTGACATGGAAGATTGAATTGCTTCTGAATAGCTAGGGGTGTGAGGTTTTGATGGGTAGTGCAGAAGTCGGCACAGTCGACTCGACCAAAAGATTCTGGAATCGACTCCCGGGTAGGACAAGACATTTTGAAATATCTACTTACACCTCATTCTGTTCATCTAGTAGTAAATAGGTAACCATGAGTTAGGCAACGTTGATAATAATGATAAACCCAACCCAGTTACTTGTCCCCAAACTTTGATATCAATTATCTTAAAACATATCTAAGAAGTTTTGATTATTCTGTGACATAGTATTTATATACACTATATATGACTGCATATTCTGTGTTCATTATTATTTTGTTTAGGGCTTCTATCCCTCTGACTAGTGCTCTTGCATCTTGGTTTAATTGGAAGAGGATTTCTTCAAATGTTATATTTGTTCAAGGTTGACTAAAAAAAATAAATTAACTGTAGAATGTCTTATACAGTACTTATTAAAATTTACATGTTTCAAACCTACAAGGTTCATTCACAAGTGAGGAGACAGATTTGATTGATGAAGATTAAGCCACCCAAGAGGTGGCACGGGCATGATTAGCCCATAAGATGAGAGGAGACAGGAGTCAACATCAGATGTATACCGCAGGGAGGTCAGGTACAGACAGTTACGTGAGGAGTAAAGGTAAGGGGCATGGGTCGAATCTGTCTCCTAACTTGAGAATGAACCTTGTAGGTTTGAAATGTGTAAATTTTATTAAGTACTATATAGTACATTCTACAATTAATTTTTATTCTTTTAATCAACCTTGAACAAATATGACATTTGGAGAAATCCTCTTCCAATTAAACCAAGATCTATAAGAGGGTCCCCAATAGGCCAAATCAAACTCCATAGCTGATGTGACCTAGTAGTTGGGAGCTATCTTAGCGAGATAGGCTTCAGGGAGCCACAAGGTGCTTCCTCAGAAAACATGATTTGACACAACTCAAATGCTTGCTTCAATTCTAGGGATAATGGCTTCACTGCAAAAAATTACTGATGGGCAAAGATTGATGCTTAACATTCAGTAATGCAGAAGAAAGAGAACTGTATTAAACGAGATAAGAATAATGCATGAACATTAGTTTGGGCAAGAAGGAAGACATCTTGATTCCTGAGAATAAATAATGCATGGTAAACCTTTATGCATGCTTGTGAGAGTACGTCGCAGCAGTACTACGTGATATGATGTTATCTAGTTCTTGGTAATACTGACAAGCTCGAATATTTATATTTGCTCCCGCTTCCTCCTTCCTTCCACATTCCGGGATGGTATCTCTGTGCTAGTCTTGTCTGCTGAGCAAACGTGTGCACACCGGCAAGTCATCCAACCTACCTCTCACACCTATGTCATCTACTTACAATTCATACAAAAATTAGCCTATCTAAATGGGCTACACTATCCGGTCTGCTACACATTTACACTACATAGCTTGCCTTCCACCTGCAGCATTTGACCTGCCTCCAACCACCACCAATGGTAGTAGCCTCCTAGCCACATCACTATGTGGCCTGGTACCCATCAACACCCAGCCAGCCTTAAACTGATCACTCAAATGAGAGTAAAGGAGATTGCAGTGGCTATTCTTGGTGGGTATAGTGTGTTAGTGTCGTGTTTGCAGCGAGGAGACAACCATGTGTGTGTAAACTCTCTACCACACATCTGCTCAACTGTGGCATATTTCTCCACTGTGTTCCTGAGACCAGCACCTCCCAAATGGTGCTTGGGTGTGTCCTTGGCCAAAGGGGACACGACTGGAAACCAAAGCAGCTTGGCTGGCCTCTTCCACTGCTCTAGAGAAGAGGCAGTTGCCATCACCACCACGAACAACATCTATATTGATTACAAAACTTGGAAAGGCTTTTTATTGATTTTGGAAGACATACAACAACAGAAGACTAAGGATGCTGAAGATTGCAAGAGTGTTGCAGGAGAGTGTAGGAGTAATGAAATGGCACTGGCAGTGAAGTGCTCTTCTGGGAATAGCAGAGAGCTACCTATCCTACTCCATGGTCAAATAACCTCCTTCAATTTGCATGTTTCTCTCACATTTGAATACATCAAAACCTCAATGAAAATAATAGGTTGTCCAAACAAAACAATATTTCGGGGGAATTACATTTTCACGGTGAATACTTTAGAAGTGAACCTGGCAAATAATACATGGCTTGAGGTGACTATGATTTACAGTAGAAAAGACAATTTCCATGTATACCAGCTGATAGTGACATCCCTCAACTTTAGCAAAACTATCAACACCACAGAGTCCTGTGGCAAGTTCCATGCCTTCAGGGTGATAACCGAAGGGAATTTCTACGGTGGCTACAGCTGCAATATCACTGGACGAAAGTTAGAGTCGCTGAGCCCTCCCACCACAACCCTCGGGAGCACACACACCTACACACCCAGTCCCACACACCTAGTCCCACACACTCCAGGCACCTTGCTCTTGATTATCTCTCTCTGTGTCACCTGGGCTGCATTCCTCCTGTCTCTCTGTGCCCTTGGGATCAGTTTAAAGCTCAAGTAATTGTCATTAATCTCTTATTTTGTGACTGCTATGATTTGTATACAATAATAATTTAAATTATTATTACATTTTTGTACACATCAAATAGCCTGTTACATATATTAATTTGGCTAATTATTCCAATGAAGAAGAAATGCACTTCTTTATAAACAGTTATACGTATGTACTTTATTGCATATTACAAAGTACCATTACACATTTGCAAAAAAATATGTGAATTTTATTCTCCTGTGTCAGAAAATTATCTTTTGGTCTATACAGTACAGTACTGTACTTTATACTGAACCGTCAATGGAAACTTTTGATAATTTAATAAATACGCACTAAGGAGGTGTATTCAGAAATACTGTACAATTCAAATACAGTACTGTACATGAATATTTAAATATAAACAGTTCAAATAACTATAATGTTTTCAAGCACATTTCCTCTCTGCTGCAACATCATAAAAAACTTATTAGTCCACACGCGCTGATATCCTCTGATTTATTTTACTTATTTATTTATTTATTTACAACAATGATCACAAAAACACTGATCCAAGTATGCAGAAAAACCACATGTGAAAAAATAGAGAATGCTTAATGCGTTTTCAGCTAATTCGCCTTCATCAGAGCAAAGTAGAATGAATTATTTATTATTCATAATAATTCAATAGTAGAATTATTTATTTATATGCAAGAATGTACATTAGGTTGTGAGAGTACATAACAGTGGTGGTCTTTCAATTTTCAAAGTCACTAACACACATTCGGGCAGATATCCAGCCGAATGAGATTAAAAACTGTACCTTACTCGACCAGTTTAAAACAAAAACTAGGAAGTTAGTTAATTAACTTTATATAACTAATTTGACTTAGGTTTTCATGTCCAACATGTCACCCTGTGTTTTGTTATCATTGTGTACATTTACAGTATCTGTACTGTTGGTAAAAATACAGCTTCTAAATATCACTTAAAACTCTTAAATCACTTACTAAATTTATTAAAAAATTCAAGTACAGTATATTAACTTACTCTTTGTTTATTATTAAGTTGTTACATCATTAAACTAATAAATGACCAAATTATGTTATGCTCAAAATGCTATGTGTATTATTGGCTTTATGGAATATACAATGTCTACCTATGAACATCATACCACTGTATCAAAATTCTAATCAATCTATGTTATATATACAAAATATAAATTATCATAATATTGATATCATAGATTTAAAAACTGTGAGCTCATCAATCATTGACTGATTGATACTGACAGCTGAGTGTGCAGGTTGCAAGATGGTCATGCAGGTGAACCCCTCATGACTCATAATTAAGACAATGGCCATTAGTTGTTTAGCAATTGTAACCTGGAACCAAAATTTATTATTTCAAATTGGTTATGTTCTTAGTCTTTATGGATGATGAACGAGGGACTCGACCGGCTGGTGAGTGCTTGCACTTACAAGTATGTCAGAATATTACTGATGGTAGTAATAGTAGTGTTTTATCACTTTTTGTCAACTTTGTCAACAATTTGTTTGTTTTGTCAATAATTTTTGTCAACTACCATTCAAGCTGTCATTGCAATCAATCTTATATTGTTTCTGCTGTATTGTGCCTACCAATTTTTGTCAACTACCATTCAAGCTGTCATTGCAATCAATCTTAGCTACCTATGTGCTTTAATATACTGTACCTACAATTTTCTCTCACCTTCTTTTTTTCATTCCATGTAACTGTTATCATTTTTTTGTCTATAAATTTTGCAAGTATTTACCTCCTTAAAATTTTCTTAGATTAAGGACCTGCCCGAAACGCTGCGCGTACTAGTGGCTTTACAAGACTGTAATTACCATATTATGTATCCTCACATTCACAATGTACATTCTTGTATATGCATAAATAAATAAATAAATCATTGGTATTACTGATAATATATGCATTAATTTCCAAAGCGCAGTGGCACCTCCAAAGGATACCTGATCAACCAGGCTGTGACTCGTACGTCAGGCTGCGAGCAGCCGCGTCCAACAGCCTGGTTGATCAGTCCGGCAACCAGGAGGCCTGGTCGACGACCGGGCCGCGGGGACGCTAAGCCCCGGAAGCACCTCAAGGTAACCTCAAGGTAAGGTAGGTCTACATACTTGGCTCACAACCAGGAGACAAAGGTGCAATCCCCAGGCAGAACAGAAACGGTTGGGCATGTTTCCTTTTACCAGATGCCTCGATTCACCTTGCATTAAAATAAGTACCCAGGAGTTAGGAAAGTGTGGGGTTGCATCCAGGCGAAGGTCAGTAGTAGTTGACCCAGGGGGCCACCTTGATATGCCTCGGTACACACTTTCTCTCCCCCAACAACAGATTTATTATTAGTATTAATATTTTAATTAAGCTTATAATATATGTTGAACACATTGCATATGTACAAGCAGTAGTGATAGTAGTAGCAGAGCTACAATGTTGCAAAATATATATTATATATATACAGTATATATATATATATATGTATATATATATATATATATATATATATATATATATATATATATATATATATATTATTCATAAATCCATTATGTATTCGTACTGGATTTATATCAATTAAGTTCCGAGTAATCACGAGGCTATCAATATGATCCATGATATGGCCATGCTTTCCATTTACTGCCAGCTGCTGCACTTCCTGTTGTGCTGTAGCTTCTATTTATAGCCACTCATTGTGATAACACTGTGGGTGTGGAGTATGCTGATCAAGTATGGTAACACTGGGTGTGGAGTATGCTGATCAAGTATGGTAACAGTGTGGGTGTGGAGTATGCTGATCAAGTATGGTAACAGTGTGGGTGTGGAGTATGCTGATCAAGTATGGTAACACTGTAGGTGTGGAGTATGCTGATCAAGTATGGTAACACTGTGGGTGTGGAGTATGCTGATCAAGTATGGTAACACTGTGGGTGTGGAGTATGCTGATCAAGTATGGTAACACTGTGGGTGTGGAGTATGCTGATCAAGTATGGTAACACTGTTGGTGTGGAGTATGCTGATCAAGTATGGTAACACTGTGGGTGTGGAGTATGCTGATCAAGTGTGGTAACACTGTGGGTGTGGAGTATGCTGATCAAGTATGGTAACACTGTGGGTGTGGAGTATGCTGATCAAGTATGGTAACACTGTGAGTGTGGAGTATGCTGATCAAGTATGGTAACACTGTGGGTGTGGAGTATGCTGATCAAGTATGGTAACACTGTGGGTGTGGAGTATGCTGATCAAGTATGGTAACACTGTGGGTGTGGAGTATGCTGATCAAGTATGGTAACACTGTGGGTGTGGAGTATGCTGATCAAGTATGGTAACACTGTGGGTGTGGAGTATGCTGATCAAGTATGGTAACACTGTGAGTGTGGAGTATGCTGATCAAGTATGGTAACACTGTGGGTGTGGAGTATGCTGATCAAGTATGGTAACACTGTGGGTGTGGAGTATGCTGATCAAGTATGGTAACACTGTGGGTGTGGAGTATGCTGATCAAGTATGGTAACACTGTGGGTGTGGAGTATGCTGATCAAGTATGGTAACACTGTGGGTGTGGAGTATGCTGATCAAGTATGGTAACACTGTGAGTGTGGAGTAGGAATTAAAAATAAACTGATCCAATAAGCTAGCTCTTGTGTGCTTGGATCCCAGGGGCCAGAAGAAATACATGGAGCTTCGTGAATCTAGGTCCATCATAATGGATACAAGTCCTCCATAGTACACAAAACAATTCGCTAACGGATTTTGAAACCCACCTAACCTAACCTAGCCCAACTCTCCTAGATTAACCTAACCCACCCGAACGAAATACAGCTTAATCTAAACTAATACATCCTAGCATAGCAATAGACACGGTTTAAAACAGAAAACGAGCTTCGTCGAATCGTTTCGTGTCCGAAACAATCTTATATCATTTGACATGTGCGTTACAACAGTGCCAGTCCTGCCATTATGTGCCTCTGTAATCCTTTACACCACCGCCCACGGGATGCGTATGGGGTGCATAATAAAGAAAGAAATTGAAAGTCCTGCCGGACGCTATGTAAGCTCTACGTCAAGCGTCTATACTTCTCCCTAAAGAAATTTAAGTCCCCTAAAGAAATGCTGAAAAGAAAACTACATTTACCCATGACTGGAGCAAAGAATTTGAATTTATTGCTACTTGGTTTTGAGAGTTAGTTTAGTTTAGCTCATTTATTATGCACCCCATACCCTTCTTGTGGGCGTTAGTGGAAAGGGTTACAGAGGCACATAATGGGCTTTGAGAGATGGAGATGTTCCCAGCTGAGAATGAGGTGGGGTAGTGTGTGTCTACAGCTGAGATAGAGCTGGGTTGTGTAATTATCAAAAGAGGGCGCCAAGTCAGGCAGGAGCTGGGTTAGGGGAAAGTATTGTTGATTTACGGGCAAGGACTATAGGGAGTGTCTAAACCTGAGAACGAGCTTGAATATTATATGTTAAATCTAGTTCATGTACTCAGCTGTAATATTGTCCATATAACCTAATTATCATATATATTGTAGTGTAAAATATTGAGTATAATATGGTTTAAACTAGCGAAGTTTGATGTAAAGTAGCAGTAAGTGGCACATAAGAAAGGTGGCAACACTGGTGCTCCAGGTTGTCAACAACAACAACAGCGGCTGTGTCCAGCTGTGCCCAGAAATGATAATTATCACATTATCCTCGAAAAAATAACACAAGAGGTAAGCAGTAATTAACGAACATTATATGTAAATAGGGAATAGTTGCTATTAGCACCAGAAAATGGCTAAATATGCTGGCGCAACTCGTGCCATATTGAACATTGATTTTTTGTTTACCGTGGCTGTGTCTTGTGTACAGTATATAGCGACTGGTGTGGGGAGAAGCACTCGTATCTCCTGCTTGGGCTGTTTATACGGGACTGGTGTGAGGAGGAAGTACCCCCTTCCCCCTCATCCTTCCTGCTAGGGCTGAGTATGTGGGACAGGTGTGGATGAAGGACCTCTCCCCCCCCTCCTCCTCCTGTCTCCTGCTAGGACTGTGCAACTAGAACTGCTATAGAAAGGGTAATTTTCAAGTATGGTAACCTGATTGGATTGTGTATATGAGACTAGTCTCAACAAGTTTCTGCTAGGGTTACCATATCAGCCTGGCTGTGACAGCTAAGTGGGGCTTTCAGGCTGTGGGAGTACAAAAACTCAAAATCATCAAAAGGTAATTAATAGGTATGAAAAAGCAACACCCTGTCCCTCTACTCAGACTATATATAAAGAGGCATCAATAGGCAGCACAAATCATATTAAACAATGATTTGTTTACATATATACAGAATTTAATAGTTTTACTATAATGTAATATGTAACCAGCTCTGCCTTGACTTACAAACATGGACAGAGTAACATTGTCTCTGGCACCCCTAAGATCCAGACAAACATGTTAGGCTTCTGTGACAGTCTGCCCACCAAGAACATGTTCTGGTTCACGATGACTTGCCTTCTCAATGGGACAAAAAAGCATTTGTCAAAATAAAAATCAAACCATATACTATTTAAATAAACTGTCCAACAAGAATATAAAATATTCATTATTACTATTATCTCTGAGAATGTTTGGTAATTAGATAACTACCAAACTCTGAAACAACTTAAGTGACCTTCTCTCAAGAAAGAACAGGATTGGGGACTACAGAAGAACCACTTGTAGAGTGGCTCAGGGTAGGCCCTCTAGCTTCTTAATATACCTTGACAAAGGCATGAATATATTTTTTAACACAACTCAATGCAGACAATGAGTCACAATAATGTGGCTGAAGATATGGAGACTAACCCACACACCAAAAGATGAGGAGATGACAACATTTCGGTCCGTCCTGGACCATTATCAAGTCGATTGTTGACTTGAAAACCAGTACAGTAATTGAAAGTTTCCTCTCCTGACCTAATAGCCAAAGCCAGAGGACCAAGAACAGAAAACAGGACAGTATGTCACTTTCGTGAGGCGATTTAATTTTGAATCACGTCGATTCAAAATTGATACTTCAGTATCTGTTCGTACTTCATCAAGACTCAAGTTCACCAAAATCCACAACAAAAATCATATACTTCACCCAGAACAATAATACAAGATCTTGAATGCAGAAGCCCATTTTATCTTGGTAAATACCATAGTTTTTGTATTATAATATTCTTCATTTTATATATTTGAGAAGGGAAGGGAAGACCTGATTTATTTTGTATAGCCTTCAATATTTATAGTTTCAATCTTAAGCTGTCTGAGAATAATGAAGTAGACTAGTATGAGACGTCGCCTTTAAAATCCAGACCCCTATTAGTTTTTCCAAGACAATACTTTTGTCTTGGCAATACTTTTTTGCTATTTAGAAAAATTGCCAAATATTTTGTAATATTCCTACACCAAATGATTTGTGTCAAACTCAAAATGAACCATATGATTTTGCTTAAATTATGCTCAATGGCTCTTACAACACCACCTACTCCAAATATTTGGCCCATTTAGAAGAATTGATAAAAATATTTCAAGCAATATTAAAAACAAAAAAGAAACATTGATACCTGTTTTTTTTTCTCCCATGCTCTACAGGATAATTTTACTGAGCAAAGCCATAATTTTATCCTGCTATATGCCAGCAGAATTTGACTCTGCAGAGATTTCGCTCGAACACACCACCCTTTAAAACCTTACTTTCAAAGATGGCATCATGAGCCCAGGTAAACAAAAACTCTAAATTAAAACCAACCACAGGATTTTATAATAACTATGCTCAATGACGTTTCCACAACAACTCTTTTTTTTTTTTTCCAAGGTTATATCCATTTTGGAAAATCATTAGCAATCATTTTGAGCAATATTAAAGGAAATACCATTCCTATCTTTTTATCCATCCTCAATGGAAAATTTTACTGATTGAAATCAAAATTTTAGTCTGTCATGCAATGAATATCTACCACAAAAAAATATATATATGCTAGACATAACTATGTAAAGATTTGAATTTCACTACCACTAATTATGCACACCATTTAGATTAATTTAAGCAGATATTCTTACTAAGCTCCATAAGATTAAGAGGGTTTGGCTCTTCTTATCTCTTAAGCTTGGGTCAGGGTTATTATGTATGGTATTTTGTAATGGCTCCCAAGTAATGAATCTGGACCAGTTCTTCAGGTCACTATGTGTAGACCTACACTGACTGCAGTACCCTATAGCACTTGTATTGTTCATGACCCATTACTTTCCTCGTCTCAGGCAGAATTTGTTGGTTTCCAGATTGTCATGGGGATGACGATGAGATGCTTTGGCTCTACACCATAACTGCATGGTCAACATCATGTGATCAACTTGTATATACCCTGTATAAGAAAACGTGTACTGCCTCCTGGTATTCATTCTACACTCATTCTTTCTCTTACTCAACAGCTGGAGTACTGGCTGAGTGCCAATTTCAAACCTCCTTTCTTCCCTTCTAATTTCTGACATTATTCCAAACTTGTCCCAGATGAAGAGCTTTTCCACTTGTAGAACTTTGACATTTTTCTGCCATTACACTTCTGAATGACTAAGTAATTGCCTATGGAACAGTGACCCAACTCTTGTGGCAGCAGTGTTCACCTTGCTACTAAATACGATCTCTTCTCAACCCTTTCCCTAGTAGGCCTATGTAATGAAGGAAATGTTCTAAGCACCAGAAAGAAGTAATCCTGCATCTTTTCCACATCTTCTCATAAAGTGCCTATTTACACCAAAAGTTTTGCCTTCTGATAGAATAATTGTTGTGGTGTACTTAACCATAATGATTTGTAACTTTGTGATAGCTTCACTGATGTAGTGTTACCAGCCACTATTTTCCATTTGGGTGCTCATGTCTAAATACCATGAAATGTCATTTTGGTATGCAGCAATTCCACCATACAAGTGCAATGTGTAATAGAATGAAACAAACATAAGTGCCCTTAATTATTTCATATCTATCCCCAGATTGTTTACCCCTGACTGACTGACTGATGTCTGATCATGGTATAGTCAGGAGTGGTCTGCTGAAACAGACTCGTGCAAACAAGTGATGTGATGTGTGCAGAGAGTGGCCCAGTAGCTCCAAGAGTATATTAATTTAGTGCAGTAGTGCACTAAATTAATCAATAAATGATACTGAAAAGATTTTATCTGTATTTCCTTTGGCCATCATTTTATCCCCATTGCCTGTCTGTTCTATGTTGTGTTTCATGTTAATTGGTATGGCCCCAAACCCATGCACATCAGATTTATGAATCCAAGGCCAACTCAGGTGATTAGTGACTTGCCAACCTCCAAAATGTGATCACAGATCCTGACTTGTTGTCATTGTGACTTTTGGCAAGTGCCTCCTTCTCCTAAAAGGATTGCATATTTGATTCTAGTAGTACTTGGGATAAACTAGCCTTCAATACTTTGTTACAAATGATAGCCAAACCCACACCATCCTCACATAACTTTCACGGGGGAGCAGTCCCCATGGCTCAGTGGTAAGACACTCATCTGGTGCTTCATGAACGATTTGGCCTGGGTTTGTAGCCTGGCTGGGGAGGGTTGACTAGGCACCAGTCATTAACTGTATGCCTGCCCAAAACACTATGTATACTAGTGGCTTTACAAGGACCATTTTCTATTACAGATCGGGTGATCCACTACAAATTGGATCCAGGTTAAACCTCCAATCACCTAGATCCTAGCTGAAAGGATGAAGGTGTGCGTGCATAGGCTTGTGTGGGGACTGGATTGCATCGGCATAAAGTCATAGAAAAGAAAGACAAAATAAACCAATAAAAATATTTCCCTATCTTGTGAGTACTAACTCCGCAAAAATGTTATAAGACAATATACCGTACAATTTTTTTTTTATTAATTTCAGTACAGTATTCATGTAATATGATCTACTTTGTGATATTTACTCCTACAGGGCTGTAGGTTAGGTGGAGTTAGGTGGACATATTCCCTCTGTGTTTACCAAGGATATGCTTTTACCCTCTTGTTACACCACAAGGTAATTAATTTTGCCTATTTTAACTAAGCAAGATGTGTGGCAGTTAACTATGCCAGCTTTTCACTACTATTTACAGCATTATGGATAAATAAGCCCTATCACATTCCAGCAGTCATCCACAGTACCATCCTATGTCATACAATCAGGTGTACAGTGCTCCTCATGAATTGTCATATACAGTACGTTATATACAAATATATTTGTGCCTTACAAACGGCTTTCACCCAACCTTGTGCATATCCTGTGCATTGCCGAAACTCAATCCTTACTTCTTTACACACTCGTCATGGGTGTCCACCTTCTCAGCCTTTAGTTTCTGATATCAAATCCACCTTCCTGATTTTCAAAGTGCTCTCTCCACCTACTTTTTATTTTCCCTTGAGCAGTTTTCATTTTCCCATGCATATCCTTAATATTTTCTTGACTTTTCCACCAGTGTAACTTACATTGCATTGTATAACTTACAGCTTTTTGTTTTCTTTAAAATTTTGATAAAATATTTGTCCAAGCTCCTCATGTACAGTTTATTTGCTGTTTAACTAATCTTTTCATATATTTTTTGCTCTTATCATATTCTTTCTGTCTTATCTTTCTTGTTCAGTTTGCATCTGAATTTTCACTTAATTTTCAAGTCATTATCTCCTGCCACTTCCTTGCCTCACCAAGCATTTTCTCTCATTTTCTGCCCATTTGTTCAGCATCAAATTACAGTTTAGAATTCCTAACCAGACATTACTTATACACCTACTCATTCATACCTGTTTGTATGTGTCAATGTGAATATCCTTGCAGCAAATAATGAGAATTCAAAGTGGCTTCATATTAGTTGAAGTCATGCCTCGTTAATCTTCATATTTTTTCCCTTTGCAGCTCATCCTTTTGCAAGAGGTACACTTGTGTGCAACATCCAGTGCAGAATGTTCATGAAGAGACAGATATACTGGATACATACAGTGCCAGCAATGTGTGTATCATACAGCACATAACAGTGTTAGAAATACTCTAGACTACAATGTCAACATTCTGCACTTTACAACACACCTAAAGTACCTGGCTACTACATATGCCTATGGATGTAAGTTTATCCCAATCTTTAACATATTGGTTGCACAGTATTATCACTCATTAAAGTTGTAGCCTTTTCATTGATCTTTAGAACTTCATATGCATTAACTTTCTGTGTTCAGTATTAAGCACTAAAATCCACCATGATATAAACAAAATATATTAACTTATTTGAAAACCAGTTATGTGACCACTTTTCAGAAATACTAAAGGGTGCAAAATAATATTCTCTATCACATACCCAATTGGTCATGATCTTTATACACATCCTTACAGAGAAATCATATTGAGTTACTGCAGTCAAGTATTCACCTGGCATAATTCAATAGCAATACTAAATAAATGCATCTTAAAATTTGTTCTTTTATTTGATTTCTTCAGAATTCTTGATCAACCAAATGAAATAAAATAAGCTACTTTTATGAATGTTTTCTAGCCATAAAATATTGCAGCATTTTATGTATTATTGCAATGTGTTTAACAAACTACTGCCACTCAGCCTTGTTCACTTCCGGCACTCAACTGCTCAGGAGTAACAAGTTATGAATGTCAATTTGTTTATGAAAAAGTATTATAAACAAATTAGAAAATTCATGTGAAATCATACTCGTGTTCTCAGTGTCTAAACTAAATTAACAAAAATTGTATGTGATAAGACGGCTAAACTTATAATGAAGTGGAACTATTTTGGCGTTCAGTGCCTAAAGAGACAAAAATATGCTTGAGTAACACACAAAAGTTGTGTTGTAAAAGAATCTAAATTAGTATTGAAAAGAGTAAAAGTGCTTTTTTTTTAATCTAATCTAGTGTACATATAAAAAAGTTCATATAGCATAGAAAGTAAATGTTTATTCAGTTTATAAATTACTTATCCAAAATATTTCATATAAGAGAGAAAACATACCAATGATTCTAAGAAAATTCATTTAATGTGAAAAAAGTGTTTAAATACAAATTTACATTTAGTAAAGTGGGAAACACCACATAGAGAATCTGTCTTCCAAATTTTAAAAAGCCTGTCAGAGAAATAAAATCGGTACAACTATGAGTTATCATAAAAATGAGAAACCATATCAGTGTTGTGTGTGCCCCAAATTTTTTTCACAAAAATCTGATTTAGTCAAACATAGAAGATGCCATACTGGAGAGAAACCATATCACTGTTCAGTGTGCCTGAAAAACTTTTCAGAAAGGTCAACACTAATAAAACATACACGAGTACATACAGGTGAGAGGCCATATCAATGTGCACGGTGTCAAAGAAGCTTTGCACAAAAATCTGCATTAGTGCAACATACAAGAGTTCATACAGGTGAGAAACCATTTCAGTGTTCCGAGTGTCTAAGAGGCTTTTCAAACAAATCAGCTCTAATTGTACATCAGAGAATTCATTCAGGAGAGAAACCATATAATTGTTCTCAGTGTCTAAAGGAGTTTTCACATAGATCAACATTAGTACAACATACAAGGACTCATACAGGAGAGAAACCATATCATTGTTCTCAGTGTCAAAAAGAGTTTAAAAATAAAGCAGGTCTAGTGCATCATATGAGAGTTCATACAGGAGAGAAACCCCATCAGTGTTCACTGTGTCCTAAAAACTTTTCTGAAAAGTCATATCTAGTGAAACATTTGAGGCTTCATACAGAAGAGAAACCCTATCAGTGTACAGAATGTCAAAAAGACTTTAAAGATAAAGCATATTTAGTAAAACATATGAGGCTTCATACAGGTGAAAAACCATATCAGTGTTCAGTGTGCTTAAAGCACTTTTCCCGGAAGTCTGTGCTAGTACAACATACACGAATTCATACTGGAGAGAAACCATTCAAATGTTCAGTGTGTTTCAAAAACTTTTCACAATACTCACATTTAGTACAACATTCGAAAGTTCATACAGAAGAGAAACCGTATCACTGTTCAATATGTTTAAAAGACTTTGCACAAAATTCACATTTAGTTGTACATATGAGAGTTCATACTGGAGAAAAACCATATTGGTGTCCTGAATGTTTAAGAGGCTTTTCACATAACTCAACTCTAGTACATCATATGAGAGTTCACACTGGAGAGAAACCGTATCATTGTACTATATGCCAAAAAGATTTTTCACTTAAAGCAGGCCTTGCAAAACATATGAGAGTTCATTCAGAAGAGAAACCATTTCAGTGTTCTGAGTGTCCAAAGAACTTTTCAGTTAGAGAATATCTAGATAAACACATGAGATTACACACAGGGGAGAAGCCATTTCAATGTTCAGAGTGTTTAAAAGACTTTTCACAAAAATATGACTTGGCAAAACACATGAAACTTCATTCAGGAGAGAAACCACATAAGTGTTCAGTGTGTGTCAAAGCTTTTACAGAGAAGTCATCTCTAATAAAACATATGAGAGTTCATACAGGAGAAAAGCCTTATCAGTGCTCTGAGTGTCTGAAAAACTTTTCACAAAAATCAAGTGTTGTAAAACATATGAGACTTCATACAAGAGAGAAATCATTTGTTGTTTTTAGTGTCTAAAAGATTTTTCTAAAATCTTGATATAGTAATCCTATTACTAAATAAAAAAAAATCTTGTTCAACCCTTCTCAGTGCTGTGTTTTTCAAGCCTTTCAATTAAACTTCAGTTTGATAAGATTGCACAAAATTATTTTCTACTGCAGAAAAAAATGTAAATTTCTAACACTTATTGCCTCAGAAAATTCTATTATTTACTCTACCTATATTAATTTATTGATTTGTATATTATATATTACAAGCATACATTATCATTACCCCATTTGCATGGGGAGGGGGGGACATAAAATGGTAACATTATAGTGAATGAAGCAATACACTCCAGCAGTCATACCTACCTTACCTTGAGGTTACCTTGAGGTGTTTCCGGGGCTTAGCGTCCCCGTGGCCCGGTCGTCGACCAGGCCTCCTCGTTGCTGGACTGGTCAACCAGTCATCTACAGTAGTATTCCATCACTTCACAAGACCACAAGGTGTTCAGTTTTAACAAACTGCCATATACTGCACAAATACATTCCCCACTTTCAAATCAGTTCCATCCAGTCTTGTGCATTTTCACATTCCAAACACTATTCACATTCGGCCTTGAATTCTTCACACACCGTGTCAGCCAAAATTTCTTCCTTTCTTACTCTTATCACTAGTGTATCTTCATTCATTCATTCATTCATTCATTCATTCTATATGCCCAAACTATCTCTGCACGCACTTACTCTTGATGCAAATTTATTTTTACACATTTGCATCTTTACATGGGGTTTGATTCTTACTCTATTCTCCTAACACCACACATGCCATTATATTCTAACACCACACCCACTATTATATTCTCTAACACCACACATGCAACTATATTCTCCTGAACCATGGACCCCAGCTGTGCCTGGACCAATAAAGGCCAAATTAATTAATTGCTACAAACAACGTGGAGGTTTTACCAGCGGGTGTGAGGCCAATTACGGTTCGAATCCCAGATGTCCTATTAGGGAAAGTGGATAAAGGAGACGATATTATTTGTGGTTTGGGTTATGGTGATTCTTATACTGAGAGAGAGAGAGAGAGAGACTACAGTCTGACTAGTAACCCAACAGTGCTGACCATCTCTTATAGAACACTCACCCACACCAGGCTTCCTTGACGGGTCCTGGTTTCTGAACCCCATGAACCTAGTAGGGAACAGGTCTCGAGCGAGATTCCACATGAAGTTTTTATTTGGCTCGTGAATTACTTAAATATTTTTCCTCACAGAGCTACCACATTTCACCTCTCCGTTTACCCTCTTTCCCTCCCCCTCTTTTACTTTCAATCTTTCACTACCCTGCTCCCTTCCCTCTACGACGTTCCTGGACCATTATTGCTTAATTGGTTACAGTTCCAAAACTGTGCCAGCCTTCAGTTCTTAGGTGAGGGTCAGCCTCTAGTCTCCTAGGCACGTGTCAGCCCCCCCCCCAGTCTCCTGGCAGGTGTCAGCCCCCCATTCTCCTAGGCATGTGTCAGCTGTCAGCCCCTGTAGCCAACAACGTAGCAGGAACCCAAGAGTCTCCAGCCTGAGGGTCACACTGACGGGAACGTCAGTTTGGCGGGAACGTCAGCTTGGCGGGAACGTCAACTTGGCGGGAACGTCAGTTTGGCGGGAACGTCAGCTGAGCTAGACACAGTGAGAGATGACCAGCATGTATGCTACTACTCTTCTACATCTCTCTTCCTCGCCTCCCTCCCTTCGTTTCCTGTCCTATCTTCTTCCCTTTTATATTCCTTTCTGCTTTTCCCTCTCTCTCATTGCCTGTTACCCCTTCCCTATCTCTTATACCCCCTTCCTTTATTCATTTAGTCTCACTCTCCCCTTTCAATTTATCCTTCAGTCTGTACTTCTCATTCTGTTTGCCTTTATCTTTTTTTTTCCTTCCCCGTTCTTCCCTCTCCTGCTACCTTATCTTTTTCTTCAGATGTGGGAGGAAGAGGTGTGCTTCAGGAGGTGGAGGTCCTGCTACCTTATCTTTTTCTTCAGATGGGGGAGGAAGAGGTGTGCTTCAGGAGGTGGAGGTCCTGCTACCTTATCTTTTTCTTCAGATGGGGGAGGAAGAGGTGTGCTTCAGGAGGTGGAGGTCCTGCTACCTTATCTTTTTCTTCAGATGGGGGAGGAAGAGGTGTGCTTCAGGAGGTGGAGGTCCTGCTACCTTATCTTTTTCTTCAGATGGGGGAGGAAGAGATGTGCTTCAGGAGGTGGAGGTCCTGCTACCTTATCTTTTTCTTCAGATGGGGGAGGAAGAGGTGGAGGAGGAGGTGGATGGGAGAGCTTACGTAATGGGGCGCTGGTGAAGCCTGACTCAATTCCCAGCTTCCTATCTTATTATGTCATCTTACTACACGAACTATCGAGTCATTCCACTTAAAAGAGCCCAAACAACCGACATATAAAAGACGGGGACCCAGGAGCCGAAGACAACCCACCGCAAACTGCTACAGGGCAGGAACGATCTGCAGGTCCCTCCCCCCCCCCCGTAACCACGTGTAGTTTGTGTCCAATAACCTCCTCGTCCCTGTAACAACCAATTACTCCCCTGGCTCTTCCGGCACCTTGTTAATTACACCGCTCTCACCCACTTTAACTACGAATTGAGGCTATTAAGATCCGAGATTAGTTTAGAAATGAGTTTAAAACGGCGAGAGAGTACCATCGTCTTCAGTTGGCTAGCCTGGTGGATTGAGTATTTGTGTCCCACTTGGCTAGCCTGGTGGATTGAGTATCTGTGTCCCAGTTGGCTAGTCTGGTGGATTGAGTATTTGTGTCCCACTTGGCTAGCCTGGTGGATTGAGTATGTGTGTTCCAGTTGGCTAGCCTGGTGGATTGAGTATCTGTGTCCCAGTTGGCTAGTCTGGTGGATTGAGTATTTGTGTCCCACTTGGCTAGCCTGGTGGATTGAGTATATCTGTTGACTTGTGAAAGTGTTGGGTATGGTTTAGCTTTGGCTTTACTACTGTTTGAATTAATATATAGGTTACCCCAGAATATCCTTTGCTTCACAGTCAACATCTCTGACCTGCTTTATTACTGCTGTTAGTCCCTTAATACGTATTGTGGATGTCTTCGAGGGGCGACCACACTGCCCGAGGACTGACGAGGCCTCACATCATCATCTTATAAGACAGCAGACACATATAAAGATGAAAATATAGGCGCAAATTGGAGGGAAAAACTAATATAAATTGGGACCTGGTTTTTAAGAGATTGGGAGGAGGGAACTATCAGGGTAAAACACCAAGCCAATACGACTATATAGCACTTGGAAGGGGTCAGGATATTAGGATTTGAGATGGGACGGAGGAAAGGAATGGTGCCCAACCACTTGGACAGTCAGGGAATGAACGCCGACCTGCATGGAGCGAGACCGTCGCTCTACCGTCCAGCCCAAGTGGTTGGGGGGGGGGGGGGGGGGAACTAGTAGCGTAAGGCTTACATGAGCTCTGGGAAGGGAAAGCTCTCTGCTTACTAACAGGAGTCAGCAGTCCGTCTCTCCACGTACTCACCTGTGTAAATAAATTACAGAGAAAATAAAGAACCAAATAAAAAAACTAATAACAAGAAGTGCCTTCAGATTCGTAGTCCTGAGGTTCCGAGTTCGATCCCCGGTGGAGGCGGAGACAAATGGGCAAAATGTTACTTTCACCCTGATGCCCCTGTTACCTAGCAGTAAATAGGTACCTGGCAGTTAGTCAGCTGTCACGGGCTGCTTCCTGGTGTGTGGGTGTGGTGTGGAGAGAAAGAAAAAGTAGTCAGTAAATAGTTGATTGACAGTTGAGAGGCGGGCCGAAAGAGCAAAGCTCAACCCCCGCAAAACACAACTAGGTGAACACAACTAGGTGAATACACAGAAAGCAGCCTCCGTAGCAGCTGTCTAACTCCCCAGGTACCTATTTACTGTTAGGTAACAGGGACATCAGGGTGAAACTCTGCCCATTTGTTTCCGCCATCGCCGGGGATCGATCCCCGGACCTCGGGTTTACGAGTCTCGAGTGCTGTCCACTCAGCCACCAGACACCCACCTGGTGTGTGTGTGTGTGTGGGCGCGCGCGCACCAGCCACATGGCAGAGGACGATAACAACAGTATGATAATGTTAGCAGCTGAGGGCTAGAGACTGCCGCTCCAGACGGCCACATAAACAAACAAAACTCGGGGCGTGATAGTTACGACCTCGTAGTTGTGTGTGTGAATACATGTATGACTGTATATGTGGCAACGTGGCGTGAACGCTAGTGTTGCCGGCTCATGCGTTATCGAAACAGTAAGTTGGTTGAGTCCTCAGTATTTACATACATACAACCCGAGCCAGTGGCACAAACATTCAGATTATCCGAGGTCAGCCGCGTTATTTATCCTTCTTGCAATATCAGCCGGCGGGAATTGCTATCAAGGCGGGGGAAAAATGGCAAAATAAATGCCGGTTGGCAACACGCAACCGCGACGAAGCGTTCCCGCCAAAATATATCTGGTTGGAATCAGCTGATCGAATAATCTTTACTGTGATAACTTTCCGTATTGTAAAACTTATCTTTAGATCTCAATAATGTGGCTCTTTATACCTCTTTATTGGTTTATTTTTCATTACAGATGACCCTGTTCCTATGGCTCACAACCCAAAGGTTCCGAGTTCGATCTCTGGGCAGGACGAGACGTTTGGACATGTTTCTTTACAACTCATTCCTCTCTTCACCAACCAGTAACTAGGCACCGGGGAAACCATTAACAGGAAAGACTACAAGAGACTACCATAATTCTGCAAAACAGAATTAACTAAAGACCATATATCACGACTTTTATTACTCAGGAAAGGCCGACCCACAACGGACACTAGAGAACAGGAACATGGCGCCCATGTTCCTTAGATCACTGGACGACTGAGCGACTACTGTCTACTGAACTTTGAGTATCTTGTGGATATAAGGGTGAGGAGGTAGGTAAAGCAAACGAGGCCACTGTACGCAGATGACACCGACAGCACTGATGTCGAGCCCGTCTTACCTTGAGGTTACCTTGAAGTGCTTTCGGGGCTTAGCGTCCCCGCGGCCCGGTC